GTTGATAGTCCTGACATTCCTCTTCCTGCTGGCTTCCTTCCTTTGCAGAGGGCACAATGGAGAACATTGCAATGCAGGCATTGGAGCACATCCACTCCAATGAGGTGATCATGACCATTGGCTACTCTCACACCATGGAAGCCTTCTTGAAAGAGGCAGCGCGCAAGCGGAAATTCCAAGTGATTGTGGCGGAGTGTGCACCCTTCTGCCAGGTAAGACCCTGCTTGCTAATCCCCTCAGCTCAGCTGGGCTGGGCAGTGTTTCCACAGAGCTCTGCCTCCAGAACAATAGGGGCAGGAATAACATGAACTGCTGCTAATTGGGAGGGAATGGCCAGGCTACCACAGGGAATGGTGTAGGAAAACTGACTGTGGCAAAGAGCCGGTGGCAGGCTCTTTGCTTCTCCACAGGTTACCAGATCACAAGACAATGTATGTGCTGTATTGTTTTTGGGTTGTTTTCTGGCTCCCGAAATGTAGCTCCTGACTTCAGGTGAGTGTCTGTGGCACTCAGCTCAACTCAAGAGAATCCCTCCCTTGACTCACCAGAATCTCCCTCTAACACAGGGTCACAAAATGGCCGTCCGTCTGGCTGAAGAGAACATTGAAACCACCGTCATGAGTGATGCAGCCATCTTCGCTGTTATGTCTCGAGTCAATAAGGTTGGTTTGAGAGAGGACACTAGGGGATTGCTGATGTTCAGACCTTATTAGGTCCCTTTGGAGGCAGTGGTGATGGATGGATGGGCTTCTGTCAAAAGCCCAGATAACCTGGGAAGCAGGAACTAGAGAACTACTTCTGTCCCAAAAGGGTTTTAATGTTTCCACATTGTAGCAATAGTTCTAGTTCCCACACAGGGCTGGGAGAGCAGAGACCAGCCGGCATGATGACTGACCACATAGTGACAGTTCCACTGGTAGCCTTTTATACATATTCTATCCCCAGCTGCCCCTCTTCTGAGAAAGAGGTGTTACAAAACCCAGTGACACTGAGTGGAAACAGATGCTTGAAAACAGGTGCTTGTATCTGGGGGAGTTGCAAGGTGTTATAACTTTTTTTTGAGCTTCTAATGAAAACAACAAAACTGCCTGACTCTAGAATGGCTAGGGACAGGGGTGGAACTCCCTTGCCTAGCTCACAAGTCATGCAGAAGGCTGTATGGACAAGGTGTGGTGTGGTGTGAAAATATGACTGCTGGGCATCCTGACTGCAATTCCTCAGTCTTGCACAGTTGAAAATACAACACCATGTTCTTGTGACAGGTGCATGTCAGAATCCTGAACTCTACCAGTTCTCCTTAGGAGATCCAAGAGTTTACACTGTGGGCCAATATCATTATCCCCATTTTACAGAAGGGGAAAGTGAAGCACAGAATGGTGAGGTGACTTGCTGAAGGACAAGCAGCAGGCTAGAATCAGAGGCAGGACTAAAAAACAGACTTTCCGAGTTCCAGGTTGGTGCTCTCGCCACTAGGGCAGACAACAGTGCTCTAACTTCCAACTGGCCTTAAGTTGCGAGGTCTTGGTCTAGCCAGAGGGAAAAATCTCTGTGCAGAATCAGGCAGAATGGATTGAGCATCCTACTACCTCTGGCACTCCAGCCTCTCCCCCTCTGTCTCTTCTTAAAGGGTGGTAGGAACCTGAAGGTCTTTACTCCTGGTAGTCTGAAGCAGCAGCTGTGGATATGAAGCTCCTGTTCTAAGTCACTCCTAATTCTCATTTATATTTGGCAGGTGATCATCGGTACAAAGACTATCTTGGCTAATGGTGCACTGATTGCCGTCAGTGGGACTCACACCCTGGCACTTGCAGCTAAACACCACTCCACTCCCCTCATTGTCTGTGCTCCCATGTTTAAGCTTTCACCACAGGTAGGGACAACAACTTTAGAGGGAGCAGATGCTGTAATGTCAGAGACAGAGTTGGGGAATTCTAATGGTTATGAAAGCAAGGGATGGTTAGCACCAGCTAGTCCAAGTTCAAATGGGGCAACCAGCCTTGATGATGTACCTCCATCCTAGCCCAATGAAATCCTCAGGTCTTTCCACTATTCTAGTCTCTCTTCCTCCAGCACAAACTGCCAAACATGCTGAATTGTTGGGGTGGAGACTTAGAATGTTGACCACCATCTACCAGAGACCAAGACTGTCAACATAACTGTACTTAATCCTGTAGGGATTTGAAACCACATCTTTGGAGATGAAAGGTCATTGCCAGTATCCACCAGGGAAGTGGAAAGAAGCAGTATTAGGACTTTACTGCTCTGCTTCTTTCGATATAGTCAAATAGGCCTAGTCTTCTGTCATCAGAGAGCAGGTTACAGCAACAGTGGCCCTCTTCAAATCTGGACTTTCCTGTAGAGCAGGGATGGGGAATGTCCGACTTGTGGGCTGGATCCAGTTGGCCGGGGGCTCCATTTCCCAGCCACCTCTGCCCACATGGCTTGTGCCGGTCTCCAAAGAGACCTCAGCCACACCTGCAGCATGTGCGGCAGAGCAGCGCAGGGGGCTGTTCTGGAGCTGCCAGGAACGTGGGACGGGGGCAACTTGCTTCAGAGCTGCAATCTGTAGCCTGCATGCTCCAGGCAGGGGCACACGTGCAGGGGATTATGGCTGTGCCCCGGCTCCTTGCAGCAGTGATAGCCTGTCTGGAGCTGGGGCAGAGCCACAATCCCCTGCACGTGTGCCCCTGCCTGGAGCACGCAAGCTACAGATCACAGCTCCAAAGCAAGCTGCCCCAGTCCCATGTTCCCAGCAGCTCTGGAGCAGCCCCGTGATGTTCTGCCATGCGCGCTGCTGGTATGGCTGAGGTCTCCATGGAGACCGGCACAAGCCACATGGGCAGAGGCGGCTGGTAAATGGAGTCCCTGGCGGCCCAAAGGTTCCACATCCCTGCTGTAGAGTGTCCAGAATATAGGTAAGCATAAAGGAACGAAGAAAATACAGCTTGCCTAAAGCCTTTGCTCTGGTTTTACTTGCAGCAGCTGTGTATATTACAGTTGCAGGCAGCAGGGGATGGCTTTACAAGATAAAGCAGTGATTGTCATTCAGGGTGTTATGGCACCCTGGGGTGCTTTAAGATCCTATCAAGGGTGCCACACAGTTAATGCACAAACATGATTCCATTCTGGCCTGTTGGGGTTTTTCTAAGTTCTTTGCTACAGAAGAATTGCTCTAGTATTTTTCTGTAGTCAAAAACTGAGTGAAGATTAAGAGCTGGCATTTCCCAAGGGGTGCCTCAAATCTACTGAGGAGTGCTTTGAGTCTAAGAAAGTTGAGAACCACTAAGATCACAGCTGTAAAGTATGGATGAACGAGAAAGCTCTGTTTCCTTTGCTTTCACCCTTCCAGCCCTTGTGCTGAGCCTTCATGTAGAATAAGGGGGTGGGTGATCTGTATTGTTCTAAGTATTTCTCTCTCTCTCTCTCTCTCTCTCAGTTCCCTAATGAAGAGGATTCATTCCACAAGTTTGTCTCTCCACAGGAAGCGCTTCCTTTCACAGAAGGTACTGGTCCCCCCCCATTACGTGGTTTCTTGTTTGGAGTGTAGTCATATTGGCCCCAAAATGCAGCCTTTGGCTCTCTCAGTATTTATAGAGGATTATCCTGTAACCAAAGGCAGGATATTTATCCTGTTGAGGTCCACAATGACTCTGACCATGGTCCTATCTTGCTTTGCTGCTGGGAAGAACATTCAGACGAAATTTTTTCACGCTACCTTGGCTGTTTTGCTCCTGCCCTGAAGGACTTTACCATTTACATGTAGTAATGAAACACTTGAGGTGTGAGTGGTGACTCCAGATGGAGGATGGCCTACCCCTACCACATTGGCAGAGAAACCATGCTAGCTACTTGTTCTGCTCTTGCTAGTGTGGCTTTTAGAGTTTAGACTCTGGGTCACTACAGCTGGCTGAGAAATAGCTTGATTTCTCTGTCATTGGCCTTCCCGTGCAAGGTCCGTCTTCAGAAGGAGCTCCAACGCTTATTATGTAGCGACTATCTTCCAAAGCCATGCTTCTGTGGCAGAACCCTGCAAGTAGCAGCATGGGATCGCTTAGATTTAAGGCTTTCGTTTCAACTTATTGCATTTCCTTAGTCTGGGGGTTTTCTGGTCGCTGCCAGCAATGTGTCACAGCTGGGCCAAATACTGTCATTTACCCAAGACTGCTGTATACCTGCTACTCCAGTTAATCTGGCAAGGCAAGCTGGCAAAACAAGATGTGAAATATTGGTGCTGGCGGCAGTAGGGCCTTGTCAGTTTGGTTTCAGAGAGCATGGGGGGAGGCCGAGCTGCCACATTCATTTCTAATACAGTGGCTGTTTTTGTTTTTAGGAGAGATCCTGGCAAAGATCAATGTTCACTGCCCTGTGTTTGACTATGTCCCACCTGAGCTCATCACTCTCTTCATTTCCAACATTGGGGGTAACGCACCCTCCTATATCTATCGCCTCATGAGTGAGCTTTATCATCCTGATGACCATGAACTCTGAGCTCCAGTGACTCAAAACACCTCACTATGCAGACCCTTCCTGCCTTGATCTTTGCGAAGATACAGTGGTTAAATAAGCCCTTTGTGGCAGAAATGAACTTAATCTTCAACAGGAAGTGCCTGCCTGGTGTAATGTTTCCTCCCCTAGCCAAAAAGTACCAGTGAGCAAAGCTCTTGCACTGGATTTGCTCCCTGTGTTCTGTTACATGTCATGTGGAACAGTCTTTAACCTGATTTCTGGCAACAGCTAGTTCTTTTTTGCATGTTCCATCTCCACAAAAGGCCCAGTTCAGTGCTGCCCAAAGTGTGCTTGGAATTTTTTGGTGCAGCTAAGCTGCCTTGCCTTGATTTGCTATAATAAAGGTGGCTCACTTGTCTCTTGGCTGTTGACTTATCTTCCATGCAAGAATAAGTTGCTTCTTTAAGTTGCAGTAGGCTGATCATCACTGTACCAAAAATGAGAATTTGCTAGTAGCGGCCTGATATTCCTTCTAGTACAACTTGGGAGACTAAAGGTCTGTCTGACTTGTTAATTTTCTGGACTGATTAGTTTTGCTGTACAGCTAATCAGTTGCCTGCAGCACAGTGCTAAGGTGGCTACCCTGCTTCCACTTTGGGAAATAGTGTGCCTAGAGAAGAGTCATGGACTTTGGCATAGTGCCATCTGGCACAGTAAGTTAGCTGTAGCTATGTCCTGGGAGTAGCTGCCTCTGGCACTACGACAGCAATTCTAATTGAAGCTGGCTGGGAATTTGCAACTACTTTGGTTGGAAAATGTGGATTTGTTGAAATAAACATTACATGGGAATGAATGTGTTAGTTCTAACAAGGATGGCATTTCTGCTTAATGCCAAACAGACCCCTTCCCCCATCGCAGCAGCTTGATAGCTAATGCATTCACATCCACTGTCAAAGAACAAGGTTTAAGTCCCTGCTCTACCTATTTCAGACCAAGGTCTCAAACCTCAGTTCCCACGTCCATGCACTGCCAGGATACTTAAAAGCATGTTTTCTCCTATTGCAGCTTAGCACTGCATTAGGAGAAACTGTGGGGTCTCCTGGGAAGGGAGAACCATTTCTAATTTTAACAGTGCACAGCTGTGTTACACTGCAGCCTAGGGTAGAAATGGAAGTATCCCATCTACTTCATTTTGTTTAGCTTGTAAGCATTGCTACAATAAGATTCTTGACTAATTCAGGCACTTACCTATTGTAATGATGCATGATATGGTGCTGCCTATGAGTAAATAAATATACATCAATAATATCTCTTTAGTACCATATAAATAAACATCAACTTAACAGAAATTGCAGTATGATATGAGCTTGTATTTCACCAAGACGACATCATCAGGCTCTAGTTTGGAAATCTTCCGTAAGCATGGTAAAATGAGTCGGGGAACCGCAGCAGCTGCAGGCAGGAAGAGAAATACCAAAGCCAGGCCTCCTCTGCATTAGTTTCATGTCAATGGCTGGAATGAGCACAGCCCACCTACATCATTTTGTGGGCAAGCTTACAATCAAATACCAAATGAAAGTGTATTTAGGTTTATTAATAAATATGTAGCCAAAGCACTGTAAATACATAGACTAAAATCATCCTCACAAGGAAAAGGGAATTCAGCACCTGCAAGTGGGAGGCAGATTCTAGCCTTGAACAACTGCTTCTGTCCTGGCTCAGGAGGCAAGTCCATGCAGAATGCTGGTTGAAAGGAGTTGAGTGATAACAGCACTCTTGGGATCCTGGTTTTCAGAGCTCAGTTCCATGGTGATGTCTTTGTTTCCCAAACAGCTGCCAGGCTTGGGCCATTTTTCTCAGTTTAGCCAAATTAGGTTTAGGCTGCTGGGAGAAAAGAGAAAAAGGACTTCACTGACCACAATAGTCCCTTCCAACAGTGAGATGCTCAAATGCTTTATCAAAGCTGTGTCTTAAATGACTTCCACGAGGACCCAGTTTTGCAACCTGAAACAGCACATGGACAACAAGAGAAGTCATGATTTTGTGCGTCACTGTTCACATTTTGCTGGTTATTTGCTTTCTTCCCACTTTATAGTCTCAAATTAGTGAAGCAATTGTTTTGTACCTGTTTTTGTCATAACTTTCTTCACTATTAATAGAACATCCAATTTTACACACCTATAACATTTACCTATGCTAGGTAAATGCTCATAGGTTCAGGGCCCTCATCACTATCCTCACTAGAAAACCGAGTGCATATATTTGGACAAAAAACTAATCAGCAAATATTATGGGCTCAATCTGCAACCCACGTGATATTCCGATATACCGAACTGCTCTGACTGGGCAATGCTTCTCCAGCAGTGTGCCACTGGAAGTCAGTGGGATTTGTGCTTGTAAGTGCCTACATATGGGCTCAGGAGCCTAACTTCAGGCTCTAATCTAAACAGGTGTAGGTCTGAGTAAATAAAAAAGTTCATGAGTGTTTAATGTAGGCAAAATTGAAATAAATATTAATGGGGAAACAATGCCCTTGGGAAGTGCCCTTTGTGCCCAATTGCATCATCCATTTATAAACAATGCACCAGGGATTAATATAAGAACAGTAGGAGAGGGACACGAATGACAGCTTTAAACATCACACATCTGGTCAGATACAGAGCACGTCTGATTTAAGATGCAACCTGGCTGGAAAGGCAGATGAATTCATCCGCCCAAGACGCACCACCTGCAGTGCTCCACATTGTACCTGCTTTTCCTGTGGCAAGTGGTCTGTATCTGCAAGGGGTAGCATGGAAGGTCTTCCATGAGCACACTGGAAGGGCAGCTGGCAGCAGGACAAAGCTTCAATAAGCTGGGAGCTCTCCTCCATAGTCAAACTGTCATTGAACTTAATAGCTCCTGAAAAGAGAGGTGAGATGCAGCAAGTGTTGGCTAAAGAAATTTGACTCAGCTAGCAAGCTCCTCATCAGGGATTTTGGAAACTACAGCAAATAAATAAAGGGCATCACCCTCCTTCTAGCCCCCTGAGACCACAAATCAGAAGAACATGCTACTATGTAACAGATTTGGAATTTGGCTTCAGTTAATTAGCCTTCCCAACACATAAAGACTGGCTTTGTCATGGTACAAACTTCATTGTCTGGTCTTTGGCAGGTGGATGGTAGGACAGCTTCCTTGCTTCCCACGTGATGTTACTTACATGACGCACAAGAGCAGTTTTCTCTAGATATGAGAACAAGGCCACTCCACAAATGAGGAGCAAAGCAGAGAGATACTAAATATCAGCTCCGGATGCTAGTCTCACCAGTTATTCCTGAGTGTTTAGTGCACTAAATACAAGCAGGCTACTAAAAGAGTCATCTTATACTTTTACCAGTCCCTCTTCACAGACACCAGGAGTGACGTCTCTGATCCGATATTCAGCAGCATGCATCCTGCAACTCAACAATGGCGCTTAGTCTTCCTCTTCTAGATAAAGGGAGGCTTATGTACCCTCTGTCATTTAGAGAGTCAAGTGGTGCAAATCAGTCCACATTTGCCCTTTGGCAATGGAGGAGAATATTAATGCAGCATGCAACAGTCCAGCTAGTACAAAGGGATTAAAAACACTGCTGCATACATTTGTGATACCTGCTTATTTTGGGGCCCTTGCACAACCCTTCAAGTCCTTTGTATTCCCAAAATAAGAACACTTCCAGGTCTCCAGGACACCATGTACTGCCATTTCTAGTAGTTACCATTTGAGGGCAGATAAAATGGCTTGAGGGTACTGCTGCTTAAGGTTCTCCCTGCCTGTTAAAGAGCACTGATGCAGGACCTCCCTCACACCCTCTCCTCCACTCCATGAACTGCTTGTTGAAAGTCCTACAGCTCACATGAGTTGGTGGTCCAATGGCTCACACTAGTTGGTGCACATTAGGACAGCACTGTAAGTGATTCTGCTGTGCAGGAATGTGGATAACAACCACACACACACACACAACAGGTATGGCATCTTTTCTCCAAGTAAAGCTGTCCAAAGGGGAAGTTGTTTCCTGACACTTAAGAGGCACCCTGTCTAATGATGTGCCTCCTGCAACTCCTGGAAGAACTCTCTGAAACCACAGCCCCAGAGAGTACACTGCAGAAATGGAAAGGTAAAGAATGCTCACTTACCATGGCACGCTTGAGAAGCCAGCACCTTCAGAAACGTCAGAGGTAGTGTCCCTCGTGCTCCTCCTGTGGTCTGCAGTAGCTAAAAGTAGCAAGAAAACAGCTTATCTTTTCAGCTAGTTTGAAAAGAAGGAAGAATTGCAGTATTAGAGAAGCTATGGATGAGGAAGATCTAACATGGTCCATCTAGTTTCCATCTCTCCACTGTCAATCCCTGATAATGACTAGTGCACGCTAATCTCCAGGGCTTTGTCCTGTGGAAAGAAACAAGGCTTCCAGTAGAACAGGGGTGGGCAATTATTTTGGGTACAGGGCTGCTTACTGAGTTTCGGCAAGCCATCAAGGGCTGCATGACAGGCAGCCCGGGGCAAATTAATATTAATTTTCTAAACTTTTTAGGGGCCCCGTAGGCCGGATAGAATGGCTTGGCAGGCCGCATCCAGCCCCCGGACCACATTTTGCCCACCCCTGCAGTAGAAAGACTAGCCTCCAATCCTTCCCTGAAAGAGAGAGCTACTTACCTCAATTTGCTCTTGAATTAACTCCTGGAAAGCAAAAGACAGAACAATCAGTTGCTATTCTTTCCCCTTCTCACCTTTTCATTCTACTGCCCCACCCTGGCTATGTTTACTGTATTCCCCATTTTAAAAAACAAGGAAAGATGGAGGGATCTGAGCACCAGCCTGGGTTGAGAGAGAGAGAATTCCTTCCCTGCAACAGACATCCTGGACAAGTCACTTAGTTTCACCTGAGTTCCCTACCTGAAAAAATGGGGATAACAGTACTCTGCTTCCTCATATGGGTGGAGAAGCATGACCAACTTTGGTACAGTGAGCAGATGAGGACCATATAAGTACCATAGGTAGGTAAATAACCAGCCTAATGTAATCTTTGAAGTTCACTGCAGTTTCCCTTAGAAGGTAGCCAGAGCAAATTGATTAGGACTCCCAAGTTGGGAATCCATTCACCTAACCAGAAAGGAGGGGTTTCCACCCTGGAGAAAACACATGACAATCTGTTACACCACCAA